CAAATAGAAGTGACTTGCCCAACATCACAGAACTAGTGTCTGTGGCCAGATTTGAACTCAGGTTTTCCTGACTCCAGACCCAGCACTCTATGGACCACACCACCTAGCTGCCCAAAGGAAAGTGCTATGGATATACTGCTTATTTGGTGAATAATTATTTGCCAGTTGGCTTGCGCCTCTGGGAGCTTTGTGTGTAGCCTTAAAAAATATACCCAAACTCCCTGCAAGGTGTTGAAAGACTACCTCACTTGGTATGCACAAGTGCACTAGAGACCAAAATTAGACAATCATATGGTTGCCAAATTGTTGCAAGAGAAACTTCTTTATGCCTGGATCCATTTTGACCAAGTTGAGTTGTTTTGATTTTTTTTGGGGGGGGCATGTTAGAAGGAACAAGATACTCAAATTAGTTCTAGCTCTAGGAGGAAACAAGAACCTAGAAAACCTAATTTTTCATCCCTGAAAGAGGCCTGGAACATTTCATCCCATGCTACTGAACATACTAGGGGCCACTAAGCCTGAGGCTCAGTGAAGGCAGCACAGGGCATTTCTAGTGTCCAGAATGATGCCACATTATACCATATTACTATTGTTTAGCCAGGAGTTATGAGTAGCTAATGATATGCTTCTGAGTCTCAGAAAATGGGAATGAAGGAGACTCAAAACCAGGATGAATCTCTGCTGAGAGATTGAAGCCTACTGCCAAACTATACCTTAAGTTCTGATAAATTCAGAGGCACAAATAGGAGTAACATTTGTTTCATTGTCAGGCATCAGAGATGGGGGAAAATGTCCTGCTAAGAAATTTTGGTGTCCAGGAGATAAAAGCTGACTGATGGAGAGCTAGATTGAACAATTTGCTAGTGTATAAAATAGCTTTGGAGAATTGTCAGATTCCTGTAAACACAATATATCACAACCACCTGTTGCCCATATGTGAGATAGTTGGACTCCCTGAGGACAGAGTAGACAAAAGCAATGGAGAGGCAGACAAATGCACTTCTTTGTGACTTCTCCATTGAGCCAAAAAGAACCTCATCAGCCTGTAGGATCATTTCAGTTTTGGTACTTACCTCATCAGTACCCTCTGCCCCCAGGACCACTCTGCTTCAAGCAGAGTTCCTCCCCAAACCTCTATCTCTTCATTTCCCATCTGGTGCTCTCCTTTGGACTTCTCCATCATGCCCCTTAGGTACTTCCACACCTCCCTCCCCATTCCCCCCCACAGCTTTTAGCTTCTTTTTGTGTTATTTTCCCCAAAATAATTCCAAAATTCAAGTTCCTTGACGGCACGTACTATCTTTACTGTAGTTATATCTCTAGTGCTTAGCAGTGCCTAGCACATAGTAGGTACTTAATAAATTTGTTGACTGACAAATATAGACTCTGAGGGCCATTTCCCTGGTCATAGTTGGAATGTTGAAACAAGACAATATCTCATATGGAGAAGAAATGGATTGTGATTCAAAGTAGAACTTGCACAATGGCAGAAACTTGAGGGAAGTTAGGCAAGACTATCTTGGCCCCCAGGGGAAATCTGCCCAGATAGGGAGCAAGGCTAAGCCCAGAAATTGCTTCTTTTCTGGTAGATGCTTTGGCTGAGGAGGTACTAAAGGAATGAAGGACATATATGGACCTGATTCATTGGAAGCTCAAGGTATTATTCATTTTGGAATATCCATGAGTTCAGAAACACAACTATCTGGTCAATAACTTGGTTGATTTCTGATGCTCTGGGGGTAATAGAAGAGGTTACATATGTAATCAAATGGTGGTCCTTGGTGGAATGCATGCAATGTAAACTTGTATTTAAGCTCAATATGTAACATGTACATCCCGTGTTTTTATATTTGCTCTCACTTGTTTTAGTGCTACATATTGCATGTGGCCTATATATTTGACCTACATTCTACAATGTTCCAAAGTTTGATGCAATTGGCATGCCATTCTCAAACTAGTATCTGCAGGACCAACATAAATTGGTATATGTGCTGTGTGTTATGTGTCCACATGTAACCTGCATCTCATCTACAGAAGGCAACCTTAATGTGAATGTTATAAACTAGGTATGTGGTTTATGCATTCAGAATGATTATCTGTTACTACGTTTCATGCCAACTGAGGAATGTTTGTGGTCTATACCTATTTCCATGCAACAGCAGCAGGAGTTATTTTCAGAGGCTATTAATTTGTTTTTAATTGGGAGAATAGTGTAGAGAGAATAGCAATTTGAGTGCAATTGTAGACATCTAGGACAAAGATTATCAAACTCCATTCTGTTTCCTTCAATCTTCCTAAATGGATCTCTATAGTGCTAACTTTCAGAGACATGGTGGGACTTGAAAGAAATTTACCCAATCTCAATAACAGGAATACCTGGAAGCAACTTGTACTGAAGGTGAAGCAGACAAGTTCAAAAGAAATGTCTCTTTTGGATTCTTGCTGTGTTAACTAGGCATACCTGTCAATTTGACTCACAAAAGAACTGAACTAGTCCTGAGCCAAAGTACCAGATTTACATACACAACAAAGTTATCAACATATCCCTGTGAAGAAGTGCAATCCGACTGAGAACCAGTAGATGACAGTAGCATTTCAAAGGAAAAACAGAAGATGGTAGCACAAAGGAGAAACCAATCTGGTTGATGTCCTCAGCAGAGTACTTCAATAGTTCTTCAGAGAAGCAGCAAGTGATAGCTTCAGAGGCCAAGGGGTGTCCTAGGAGGAATATGGTCCTAAAAACATAAATTGGTTTGGTTATACATGTTTGGGAGCATGTCTCTTTAAGGGTAGAGGATAGGTTATTTCACCTTGTTCTGATTAATTTCCTTTGAGTTACTGCCTTCTGCTTTGGTCGGTTTTTTAAAAAAGCAACAGATGGGGCTTAAGGTTGTGGTTTGAACCACAGCTGACTCAAAGTGTGGTTTTGACCTGATTATATGCTTTGTGGTGGTGGTGGGGAGACACATACTTTTAAAAAAATTTTTAGGCAATTGGGGTTAAGGGACTTGCCCAGGGTCACACAGCTAGTAAGTGTCAAGTGTTTGCTCTGAGGCCAGATTTGAACTCAGGTCCTCCTGACTCCAGGGCTGGTGCTCTATCCACTGCACCACCCAGTCTTGTTCTGGATCCTACTGATCTTGCCAATGCTATAGAGCTCATGAAAGCCATCAGCTGGTCTCTAGAGCCACGTACCTCAACGTGGTAGACTGGTTGGCATATGTTCAACCCAGCAGTGACGAATGGTATAGCTTGGCAAAAATTTGAACTCCAAACATGGACATCTTGGCATAGTGCAGCAGAGAAACTGGAGCAATAGTAGGACTGTCATGCTTGTGCACAGAATAGCTCAATTTGTCAGAGAGGCTGAGACACGCATGATAAAAATCAAAAATTTTGCTTGGTTTCTGAAGTGTTTTTTTTTAAAGCAGGCTTGCTTTTATAATATTACTTTATAACTACTGTTATAAAGATGCTTAGTTCTCAGAGGATTCATTCATCAAGATACTGTGGTACTTCACTTGACTACAAGATACACTTCATGATTCTATCAAATAAGGAACCTGGTTTCTGGCCAGTTATACCAAAGAAACCAAAGGGCAGTTTCCATGCAACAGGGTAAGGTTTTACTTTTTAACCTTTCCCCATAGGGCCTGCACTGCAAACAGAGAATGAGTGGGGTTTGGGTTTCAATTGCTGTCATCCATGTCAAGTCTATAGTATTGATTACACTTGGCCACCAAAGAAATTATAGGTTCACATCTAGTTTCTACTCATAACTTTTTTTGGGGGAGGGGGGTGGTGGTGGAAAGGAAGTTCTTGAAGAATAGGGGAGAGATGAAAGTAAAAATCAGTCCTGATAGTAAAGACCCTCCTCCTCCAAACACTGGTGTCTCAAACCTTCATTAAGAGATGCCAAGTAGGGGGCAGCTAGGCGGCACAGTGGATAGAGCACTGGCCTTGGAGTCAGGAGGACCCGAGTTCAAATCCAGCCTCAGACACACAACATTCATTAGCTGTGTAACTCTGGGCAAGTCACTTAATCCCAATTGCCTTACCAGAAGAAGAAAAAAAAACAACCCACACAAAACAACAAGAGATGTCATGTAGGTAAAATGGACAGGATCAGTGACCGATTGAATCCCAACTCTACAATGACTGTTCCCTCCTCACCCCATTGTTACCATCCTAGTAAATATCTACCTGAATAATTGCAAGGTTCCAGATGGATCTTCCCACCTCTATATACCTATACACCCTTGCCAAAATTATCTTTCTTATGCACAGATCTGGTCACTTTACCCTTTTGCTTAACATTTTTCCTGTATCAGGTATTCAAGACCTTTTACAATTTGACAGAATTCTGCTTTTACTCCCCTCTACGCACTTTACAATCTAGTCAAATTATACTATTGTGCCCTGCCTTCTTGTTCTAGTTTTCTGCTCTTAGTTATTCCCTCACGGCTAGAATGACCTTTCCTGTTTAATCTCTTCTAATCCCTTAAAACCCAACTCAAATGCCGCATCTCTCAAGAAGCTTTTCCTCACTGCTCCCTGTTGGAAACATCTTTCCTGTCAGATTTCACATGGCACTGTTCTGCACCTCTTAAACATGAAATGATTATTTATGATTTTGTGTCTACTTTATTATTCCCTTCCTAGATAGGGTCTATTTATCTAAACTTTCTCTCTAGCCTAGCACAATGATCTGTAAACATTAATCACTTAAACAATTTGTTGAATCTGTTGTTAAATTGAATCTGAAAAGAGACCAGGTAGGATGTAGATAACACATGATTTAGCTAAGCACACCAACTCCAATTAGATTTCCAGACCAGTTAAATTCCCACTTTTATTTCACAAATTGGCAGCAGTTAATTTTATTGAATTATTCTTCTTGCAGTATTTTCTTGTTTTTGTGTAAAGTGTGTTTGGATGTGTGTAAATGTAGCATTTTTTAATTAAAATTGAACCCAGAATTTGAAATGAAGTAACAAAAGTTACTTTAAAGAATGCTTTATTAACTACATCCTAAGAATGTACTATAAAAGGAGCAAGAACTAAATAAACTTTAAAGCTTTCCAAAATACAAAGAAAGTAAAGATAATAACTAAACTACTCCCACATTCAAAAATAGGTCACACTAAACTTTTTGGTCTAGTTTGTTCTTAACCTAAAAACAAAAAAAACACAAAAAACCCCCAAAACTTCACATTTCAAGTTATAGACTTACCTCAGTAGTGTACATGAAATGGTTTTGAAACAACAGGTACAGACAGACCAGAGATAGGAGGCTCATTGATATCTAACTGGCTATGTCACTTACATCAGTTTAAAGGTAGTTTGGTATTTGCCAAGATAAGATACCTTTTCTTCTTCCTTTTTTTTCCTCCACTTAATTTACAGGCACATGTAAAATACAGTAAGAACAAGGTGTCAGAGTCTCATCCTATTAAAAAAAAAAGCTCCATAGAAATTCTCCACTACTGCCAACGAAAGAGAAAATTTCACTTTCACAGGATGAAGATCTGGCCCAAATAAAATCTCAATATATTATTAAGTCTCATAGGCTAGGGTTTGGATGCAGGTTTCTAGATGTGTTTTTTAGAACATTGCACAATTGCTCTATTCTCTAAAGTGTTGTTTTCAAAATCATGGAAAAGAATGTTAAGAATGTATAAAGGCATCACCTGGCACTCAATAATTTTATAGAATAGTTAAATAAATATTGTTTATATATAAAAAACCCTTCCCATCAGAAGATGAGAAAATAGGCATTTGAGAATCTTTTAATTTAAACAAAATCTAAAATATTTGCTAAGGGAATGATCCTGCTTTCTGTCCACACGTGTAAATTTCATACTGCCACGAGCAAAAATTCAACAGGTGGAAAGATTTTGTGGATCCATAAAATGACATAAAAACATAACTGCATATTCGTTACCTATTGCACACCTCACTTTCTTAAGTTCTCTAATCAAAGCTGATGCAGTTCATAAAGTGGGTGGGAATCAACATTTTACTGTATTTTACATTCAGTCTGCTAAATAAAAGCCCTTAAACAGGCCACAGAACACTGCAATAATATAGTTACTTCCTAATAGAAACAAAAACAACAACAACAACAAAAAACAACAACCTTACTAATAACATTGAAATAAAACGGTTTCATCTTCAGGTAAAACACACACCATGTACTTTTTGCAACATAAAACAACTTTAAAAATGTCTAAGTAGAAGATATTTACAAACTTTGAAAACTCCTACAGGTTTCTTCTCCTCCTCCTCCTCCTGGAATCCAAAGTGGAAGTTACCGGTGCACAGTGAATGGAGGAAAGCCCCGTTTTATAAGCACAGTATTTCTCATATTCCCAACTACAGCAGAAATTTATCATGAAACATGATCACAAGACTACAAGTAGATAAAGCATAACTTTCTGGCTGACAAGAACTCTTTTGGACCCTGTCTACAATTAAAGCGCACATTCTCTGTCACTACAACTTAAATTTCACAAACAAACAAAATTCAAGAGAATTGGAAAGAAAATTCAATTTTGGCCTGGATGATGAACAAGCTAGGAGAGGCACTCTCTCTTGCAGGCTCTATAGAATAGTTGGGCTTCAGCATAAGCACCAAAGCACAGATAAAAAGATACTACCAAAAAAAGTAGTTGAGTGGAGTACTCAGTAATTCTTTGTTTCTAACAACTCATTTACCAAATGTCCACATTGTCCAGTTTCGGAGGACAAAGGTAAATGGAAAATGAGGAAGAGCATAGTAGGTGGGAGAGACAGAAATCTAAGAAATCTCTCAGGACTCTGAGGCCCCTTCCTCCTAGATGATGAAGGACAGTTTGTTTCAATTTTTATCAAAAAGAAAATGTATCCTAGATGGCTCCATCATTCCAATGGCTGGCAAAAACATAGCAACTTCACTCATCTTAAAATTGCACTTTCCAGGATTATTTTTAAATAAGGTACTCTGTGTGTGTGTGTGTGTGTGTGTGTGTATGTGTATGTTAAAGCACTACTTTTTTTTGTATCTTTAAATATTGAATATATCTTTTCAAAATATTACCTGGCTGAATGGATGTTTTTCTTAATATATAATATATATAGTCAATATATTTATTAAAGGCACTACAAAATAAACATCTCTGGAGTGCAGAAGTTAAGAAAATAACCTTCATACCGAAAATATAATTACTAAAAAAAAAAACCTTTATAAACATACTATTGTATACATGTGAGTAAGTAGAGATCATATTAAGGCATCGCAAGTTGAACTCTCTGAGAAATGTAGGAATGAATACAGGTGCATTCACTTTAAAAGTCACAAAAACTAGTGACTTTATGAATATAAAATATTTCAACATTAATATCTGATAACATTCTTCACTTTCAGGGTTTTACATATATTTACTAAAGTTCAAGCATGTTCTTCTGCAGTAGGTACTTTCTTCATAAATAGTAAAGTGTTCCTTCAGTGGTTTTTTGTTTGTTTGTTTTCATGACCCCCCTTAATCTCAGTATGTCTGGTAGACATCATGTATGGGAACCTGAATTGTAGCAGTAGGAAATGGCTGAGGTATGTATCCAGCATAACCTCCGTAAACCGCAGCTGCGGCTGCGGCGTTCTTCTGTAGTGTGGCTAGGGTGGCTGTGGCAGGAGCAGCAAATGGGACATAACTGGCACCATAGATCCCAGCCGCAGGAATTCTCTGGACATTCGGAGCTACTGTGTATACAGGAGTTATTGGGCGGCCCTGAGGAATGGGGAGAAAAAAACAAAACAAAACAGATCCTGATGTTAACATACATCGTGAACAGGTCTGTGGCATTGGTACTAGAAAGAGAACCAGGAGCGAAGGGAATAGAGCAGGGAATTTCCAGTCAGACATTTGGCTTTGAATGATTTTTCCCTCCCTCTGTTAACTTACTACCTATGGGAGGACCTTGGGTAGATCATTTCCCTTCCGTGGGCTTGTCTTCATCTGGAAAATAGGGTGCTGAATGAGGAGATCAGAGATGTGTATCAAAACTGATGCATTTCATAAATTGGAGGAACCAATATTTTATTGTATTTTATATTGACTGACTCCATCAAAAAAAAATATATATATGTATATACATATGCACACATATAGACATACGCACAAATATGTGTGTGTGAGATATACTTCTAATAACAAATCAAAAAAATTTTTTTAAAAATAATATTGGTGGGGCATCTAGGTGGCACAGTGGATAGAGCACCGGCCCTGAAGTCAGGAGGACCTGAGTTCAAATCTAGTCTCAGACCAAACACTTGACACTTACTAGCTGTGTGACCCTGGGCAAGTCACTTAATCCCAATTGCCGCTAAAAAATAGAAATAATAATAATGATGATGATGACACAAAACTTTTTTTTTTTTTGCAAAGTTAGTTGCAATAACTCTGAAAATGTGCATTCAGGTCCACTGTAACGTTTACTTTGAAAATGCAACTTTGATTCAACAGGATTGACATATTAGGGAACAATTTGAGCACTACACGAACTTCACATTTGCTTATGTGTGATTTCATCCAAGATCTGCAGAAATCTGCGCTGCTTCACGATACCTCAACCCTTCTGATACCCACTTTCACAAACTTCAGGTCCTTTTTAAGGGAAACTGCCATGTTTGTTGCCTATCTTTTGGTGGAGTTGGAGCTGTGCTCAGAGGATGGGTGGTCTACCCCTAAGCATCCTCCCCAACCTTCTACCATGGCCCTGGGTCCAGGAGTTTGGGGATGCCCTCTTGCCTTTAGCTTTTTATTTTGTCAGCAAAAGCAGCAAGTAAGACAAATAGCATCCTGAGGTTGTGGAAACTGCAACTATGTATTGCAGTGTTTATATATTTCTTTACCATTTAACGTGTATAAAACTGTTATTACCATTTTAAATGGTTCCTACCTTTTTTTTTTAATGTGTCACTGAGTGTTTGTGCCTTTAATCCAGTTTCCCCCATAAACCCTATGGTTTTCAACTGCACGATTTTACATAGCTTGGTAAATGCATACTGTTAAAGAACCGACTGTACATTAGAAGGTATTTATAAACTTTTAACCATTCTCTCTCTCTTCCTCTTGGTAAGTAGAAGTCATTTGTGTACACTCAATGAGGTATAAACAAGGCATTTCTAACATTCTTTACCTCAGACATTTTGCAATGAGACGTAATGATAAAACTTTTCAAGTACAAGGACCCCTTTTTAAGGTAAAAAAAAAGTAGATTCTCATCTGAATAGTCGACAGTGTGTGTGTATAGAGGGACCCCAACAATTTATCAGCCACCTCCACACCTTACCTGACTACAAGTTTGGGAACAACTGCCCACTGAAATCTACAGGTCCCTTCTACTTCTAAGTTCTATGGTCTAAAGAACCAATACTTTACTAGACTTTTTGAAGCATATAAAACCAAGGCATAGAATCTCATAGTTAATCTAGTCCAAATCATACCTAACCACTAATCACTTCTACAATAACCCCTACTTGATAAATTTCAGTGGCTTCCTATTGCCTCCAGGATCAAATACAAAATGCTCTGTTTGGAATTCTAAGCCCTTCATAACCTAGCTCCTGCCTACCTTTTCCAGTTTTCTTACCAGATCACGTATGTTTAAAAAAAAAAAAAGCCGGTCTGGGATGATCTGTTTTTTATAAGGCCAAGCGAACTTAGTTTTCACTCCTTACCTTATTCAAGGCTCACAAATCACTCCTTGAGAAATGTAGTGAACAGAATGCTGGACTGGGGAGCAAGAAGAGCTAACTTCAAATTCTACCTCAGACAGTTACTTACTAGCTGTGAGCTCTGAGCACTTAATTTCTCTCAGCCTTAGCTTCCTCATCTGTAAAATGAGGATAATAATAGCACCTATTTCATAGGGCTGTTATGAGATCAAAGGAGATACTACATGTACAAACCTTAATGCTAACTCTTATTACTCCTGAGCTTCCAATTGGCTGTTGGACATCTTCGCCCAGGGAAAACCTCAATGCCAGGATAAATTTAACAAACATTTACTAAGCACCAATTTTGTACAAGACACTGTGTTAGAGATACAAAAGGAAAAAAAGGCCCTGCCCTCAAGGAACTTATATTTTATTGAGGAAAAATAATGTATCTGCAGATCAGCAAATACAAGGGAACATTCAAAATGGGGGGAATCAGAAAGAGCTGTGGAATGCATTTCAGGTAGGGGGAAAAGCCTGTGTGAAAGGCCCAGAGACAGACGGAAGGGTGAGTTCAGAGGACAGCCAACAGTCCAGTTTGGGTAGAACACAGAGCACATGAAGAATAATCTTGTGGAGTAATCCTGGAATGTCAGTTTACCAAATCACAGTGGGCTTTAAAGACCACAATGAATAGTTTGTATGTTACCCCTGAGGAACAGAGTCACTCAAAATTTATGAACAAGAGTATTGTGGCTAGCCAGACCACTGACATGGGTAGTGGTGTGAAAGATATATTGGGGAAGGGAGACCAGTTAAGAGAGTATTATAATAGTCTGAATGAGAAATAGTGATCTGAGACCCAACTAGTGAGTCACTGTATGAGTGACACAAGCATTGATGGGATCAGCCACGTTGGGATCTAGCTCCACCTACCACCAATTTTTCATCTACAAGCTGATTATCCAAATCTGCCCCAAAGCCATCTTTTCTCTATGTTTTTCAGGTTAAATCATTGCTTAGCAATCCCAATGAAGGAAAGGACTGAGTGAAATAGGAAAAATAAAATCTGCTCATTTAACTACTTATTAACCTCCCCAAGGGTGTTTCCAACACTTCATGCAGGCCCCCTTCTCTGATTGATGAGTTCATTCTAAGGCCATTTTGGGGATGGGCCTGGGCTGGCCATTCATTCACCTCCTAGCTCTGCCAACATTCTTTCTTCTGGCCAAGCCCTGCACAGGTATTATCTCATCTGATCCCCAAGACAACTCTGAGAAGTTGATGTTATGATTATCTTCGTTTGACTTTAGGAAACTGAGGCAAAGAGAAGTCATGTGACTTGCCTAGGGTCCCCCAGCTAATAAGTATCTGAGATAAGATTTCAACTCAGGTCTTGAACTCAAAGCCTAGTGCTCTAGTCACTGCACCACCAGCTGCCTCGATATGTTATCCATCATAAGAAAAAACCAGTAGAGCATTCTGAACCAAGAGTCTATGTAGATCTACCTTCAAATCCTGGCTGGGCCACTAGTAAGTTGTGTGAACCCAATTGCTTAACTTTTCTCATTGTTGTTCTCATTTGTCACCATCCAAAATCACCCAGGTAGTTAACAGACCCAGGAATTGAACTGAGATCTATTGACCTTTGATGTTGAATACTAAAATCCAATATTTGTGGAATTAATGAATGCATGCATGCTATCTCCTCACACCCTCCTCTCCCCTCATTTACATAAATTCCTGTTTTGGAATAGGGAATAGTTTGCAGTATAAACAACTTACATGGTCTAGTTTAGATTGAGTAAATGGCATAATGGTTAGAGAGCAGGTCTGATGGTAGAAGATCAGGGTTCAAGTTGGCCTCTTATACATACTGGCTGTTTGACTTTCAGTAGATCACACAACCTCTCAGTGCCCCAGGCAGCTCTCAAAGACTAAATTGCAGATAAGTATTCTTCCCTGACAATTCCCTACATCAATGAAACTGTGAGAGTTAGGTCTGAAATAAAAAAAAATTTTTAAAAAGGATACTAAGAAAAGGTTGAAACATCATTAAAGGTAGTTAAATAAAAGGGAATTAAACAAAGCCCCACCCCAGGAGGACACAGCCCTGTTTATCCCAAGGGCAAGGGAAAAAGAGAGCTCAATTTGTGGGCAGTTTCTTGGACCTACAGGGGCCCCTGGAGGCTCTCATATGATAGATCCACAATTCTTGGTGGGTTTCCAGGTGTAGCAGATAGAGAGCTATGCCTGGAGTCATGAAGACCTGAGTTCAAATGTAGCCTCAGCCACCAACTACATGACCATAGGCAAGTCACTTAAAAAAAAATTGTCTGCCTTAGTTTTCTTAACTGTAAAATGGAGATGATAACATCACCTACCATATAGGGTTGTTGTGAGGATCAAATAAGATAACATTTGTAAAAAGTGCCTAACACAGTGTCTGGCCCAGATTAAATACTATATAAAACCTCCTCTCTTTTCCCTTCTTCTTCCCTTCCTCCTCCAGCACAATTTGGAAGACTAAAAATTTGCCTGCCAAAAAATCTGCCACTCTAAGAGAACAAGCCTTACTATTAAATCTACTGCTGAGTATATGTATCAAATACCTTCCTAACTGTAGGAACCTGTGTTTAAAATTAACCTGACTTACCTCATCCTATTGTGGATTACGGAGTTCTAGGCACATAAGGTGCTCAACCACCTTACCAATACACAAATAAATGATGGAAGGAAATACATATGACATAAAATTTCCAAGACAAAAGAAACTTACCTGGAAAGGTGGAGGGGTTGAAACAGCAGGCATGATAGCAGCGGCGGCAGCGGCAGCAGCAGCAGCACTGGCTGGGTCTGGTTGGACTGCTATGGGGTTGATCATATGTTCCATTGTATGGATTTTGCCATCTTCCAGCATCTTAGGAGCAGGGGCTGCCTGAAACATGGAATACTGGGCCCCAATGGCAGGGATGGCCACTAAAGCAGGATCAGAAATGGGAAAAACCAAGCTGATTCAGATTAATATATGTTCTCTATGGAGTAAAATCAAATATATCAGCCAGATGTTGCCACTAGTTGAGAAATGATCTATCAGTGATAATATTCAACACAGAGAAATTTCTTTCTTCTCTATAGTGGGTAGAGGCTGTGGGAGAGGGGAAGGTGTCTCCTATGTTTTTAAACAAGTAGGGTTTAAATTGGAAATTGGCCAAGATCTCCATACCTTGGCCAGACCTTGTAAGAAATATTTCCTGAATGTTTACTTGGTGGGACACTGTGGGGAGACAAGAAAATACAATGTCCCTATCTTTGAGAGCATTACAGTATAGTACCCTAGAGTTGAAATGTAGAGATAAAGAAATTATTTTATGTGAATTTTATTTTTCCAGTTATAGAAGTGTATAATATATTGATTTTAGGAGAATATAAATTCCAGTAAAGCACAGAAATAGATTTTATATAATGTACTAGAATTCACATCTATCTACCTACCTATCTACACATACACACACACACACACACACACACACACACAGAGATAAAGAAGGAGAAATGGTTTACTGTGGAACAGTTTATGACTCCAAAGGCTCTGCTTTTTTTTCCCCATATTTTTATGAACTGGAGAATTTTCAGGCAGAAATGACATTAACGAGAAACCAAGCTATGCTTTCTATGTCATGCTATGCCATTAAAAACACCCACCCTTCACAAGATAATAAATTCTTTTCCCAAGTCTTTTCTCATTTTAGATGCAGACAATTAACTAGGTAACCTATTATTAGGCAATTGTGCTTATCTTCAGCATTTCCACACCTAATGATGGTAACCTGTCTTAAGAATGGAGAAAATGTGTGAAATGAATGGATGTCATCTTCTCTAAACAAATGGACAGGTGGGGGCCCATAAGAGAACAAAGCTTATAAAATGCAAAATGATTATTTTCTTGATAAAAAGAAGCACAGAAGATGAGAGAAAACCTAGGCTACCTAGGACTTAAATGGTTTATCTCAGACTCTTCTGGTTACTAGCTCATTGCAATGTCTCCTGCAAGCCTCTGAATATTATTTTATCCAACTAAAAGACTGTATGTGCCAGATATACACAATTCTCTCTTCTCCCATAAACCCTTACATTTTTGCCAATTACAAACAGTAATCTCCTTCCCAGGAAGAAGACTGAACCTCTTGAAACTTGGGCCAGTTTCATGTACACAAGAAAAGAAAAGAGAATCCTTAGATGAAAAGGTTAAGCTCAACACTTGCTTATAATGTGAGTGGTATTTAGATGGAGATCTGGTCAGAAGGGTTCCCTATCTGCAGAAAGGATTTTATGTACAACAAATTACTTTTGTATCTCTTTAAGGAGATACAAAACCTTCTTCTCTTATGGGTCAATACAAGACTATGGCTAAAATACAAAGGACTCCTTGCTTTTTCCATATTTGGGTAAAGTCTATGGACCTTTGACCCATGGGAGAAGTAGAATATGAAAGGTTGTAACTAGCTAATATTACCAACTTTTTGTGGCAAATGCTTTTTATCCGCTCAAGCAATCTTTATTCTACTCTTGGTGAGGCAAGTATGCAATAAAATGTAAACATGGGGATCTCTGTACTCCTAACATGGAATCACTGTAGTGAATGTATTGCTACTCCTGCTTTTGGGATGTTCATTTCAGGTGTAAACTCCTTAAGGGCAGAGATGCTGATGTTTCCTCTTTCCCTTGAATTCTCCACGGTACCTGATGCAGAGTGCTACAGAGGGTAGTTGATTAATGAATCTTAAATACTAAGGACTCTTCGACAACTAGCATTGACTCTGAGGAGTTGGCTGTGCTTGCTAGGATCTCTTGAATTGAATTTACCTTCATCCTTACTACTTGGCTGGAATGAAGAACAGGGGACTGTAACCAAGGCTGACATTTTAATTTATTAGATGCTGATTCAGAAATTACAGTATCTGATATTGCAGTTCCATGGCATTTCTAGATCTCTAGTTCATTAAGACCATTCTTACAGAAGAGGGGTGGTAACCCTGACCACTGCCAAGTAAGAGCTTTCACCCTCTCCACCAACTCTTCTAACAGAATTGAAGGTACAACAGGAGAGAAATGAACTTCCTTCCCTTGGTCAAATCCACTCCACTCAACTGTCCAGTCTCTCTCTGGAAATGGCAAAAGGTCTAGCCATTGGTGAACACATAAGTTTATACTAGTACTGGGAAACACAAAAGAGCCCAAGCATCCACCTGTGTTGACTATTTCTAAGGTTCCCCAAAAGACAAAGGCACATATTTGCATGTGTCTGAGCATAAGGAAGGCTTAGGTTCAGTTTAAAAAGAGGTCTGGGGTTTTGGCTGAATGGACATAGCTCATCCCTCAGATTTATACTGACCTGTACCGGGTTTAATAGCAACTGGATTGACAGCAGGTAATTCCAAATTCGGTACAAGCTCATATCCTTTTTCTTGCTGCTTTCCTTTCCCTTCATGATATCGGCTATATATGCCACGGCCTGCAGAGTATCCCCCGAGGTAAGATCCCCTAGGGCCTGGGGCTCTGTTGCCAGCTGCACCTCGCCCTCGGCCTCTTATGCTCCCTGCTTATAGAAACAACACAAAACTGAGATGAATAACCCAAAGTGACAGTGCCAGGAGGCCGAGCTTCACAAATCAGAAGACTACAAGGACCCTGACATTTGGCTTTTTACAAAGAGTCAAAGTTGTCTACGTGAAAACCTTCGAATTCCAATGAAGTGTTACAGATGCCCAAAGAAACTTCCTATTCCTGAGTGACATTACAATATTAGTAAATTCATCAATCCACGTGAAAAGTAAATATAGTCTTAGTACAGTTTTATGTTATTAAAGTTTAAAACTAACAGTTTTGGGAGACAGTGTCTATATGAATGAGGTCAACACTCCTGGCATATCAGAACACACCCAGTCAATGCATGACATTTACATCACTGATGCCCAATAAAAATCTTCAAGACCTCATCTTACAAAAAAGAGAAATCTAGGCACCAAAATCTATAGTCACATAGTGAATGTTAGGCTTGGGATACAACATTTTTAAGGAATGAATAAGAAATATGATTTCAACCTGCGCTAAACTCCTGGCTCCACTAACTGGCCGTGTGACCTTGAACAAGTCATTTGATCTTTGCGAGCCTCAGTTTCCCCATCCATTAAGTGGGATAATAATACCTGGACTACCTACTCTACACGATCGTGTTATGAGAACCAAATTAAATGATGCATGGCAAAGCATTTTATGAAGTATCATGCACAAAAGAAATGTAAGCAGCATGGTATCCTCTGCAGTCAGAGGATATGGATTTAGAACCTACCTCAGATGCATACTACCTGTATAATTTAGGGCAAATCATGTAAACTCTCTGGGCCTCAGTTTTTTCAATCTATAAAACAAAGGGGTTAAGCTAGATTTCCTTTGAGGTCTCTTTCAGCTCTCTTAAGATCATCACATGATTTTACTTTATATGCAGATAGTAATAAGTTCTACGCTTTGTAGTGACTACTAAGGTGAAGGATGGTCTAAAAACATATACATTTTAAAAAGCACTCTCTGCACACTCTATCATAGAATTGAGGTAAATTGATGGGCTAGAAAGTGATGATCAAGGGTATACAATGATGCCTTAAGAGTAAGAAATAAAAATGCCCCAAAGAGTTAACTTACCTTTCACAAAATAATCTCTGTTGGGCCCAATCAGAGCATTGTAGGGATAACTATAGTAGGCCAATGTATAGGGATCACATGAGTAAACATAGTTAGGCTGCTGAGGTGTTACTTCTGTTGTTACACTTCCTTTGGCCGCCTTCTGATAGCGTGTGTACTGCTCTTTGTCTACTGGCTTGGCCAAAGTAACTTCAAGACAAGAGCCTTCAAGTTCAGTGCCATTGAGGCTGTTCATAGCATGTACAGCATCTTCCCGGCTGGTGAAGTGAACAAATGCATAATCCCGGATCTTTTTAACTCTCTCTACACAACCAGGATTAAACTGACCAAAGCTCTTTTTAATCGTCTCCTCAGTTGTTTCAATCATCAGATTTCTCACGTATAGGATCTTCACGGTTTCCATGACATCTTCGTCAACATCTATCTCTGGCTCTGCCCAGTCCACTGCAATCTGGTGTCCCCACAGTTGGATTCTTCCGGGCATGAGCTTTCTGGCCATGGCCGCCGCCCTATGGCTCTCATACTCCACAAATGCAAACCCTCTATTCTTCATTTTATCGGCTGCACTTGCATACACAATAACGTCTAGTACCCCTTCAGTCACTTTAGAGATCTCTTCCAGTATCTCCTCTCTCTTTTTCATCTTAGGGATACCACCAATGAATAGTCGGCAGTTATCCACACTGCAACAGACTCCTAGAAGTCGGCCCGGTCTGATTTCATAATTGTTCAGTTCCCTCACGGCACGCTTGGCTTCATGCTTGTGAGTGTACATGACAAAAGCGTAGCCACGGTTCTTCCCATCAAAGTCCATCATCAACCGCATCTCATAGATACGCCCAACTGATTCAAATACTGGTACCAGCTCATCTTCATACACATCTCGGGGAATTTTACCTACGAAGACTTCGCAGCCACGTGGGGGGTGCAGCCCTTCCCAACCTGGGGGAGGCCCACCATATTTGCGTTGCCCATTCTCCTGTATCATACTATAACCTGTACGCTCCATGAGGGCCAGGAGGGCAGCCTCATTAGGTGCCCCAGCTATACCTTCAGGAACTTTGGCCGCCGACACGTTGGTGGAATCGTTGCTCATTGTTGTAGTGGAATCTTCTGCTGTCATTATGTCAAAATCATTCAAAACTTGATGAAATCTAAAGAGGGAGAAAAGAAATGGGACTGATTATTCCACATTCTACACAAGGCAAGGACTGCAATTTTATGTCTTAAAACAGTAACACGTACCACAATTCTAGCTGAAAAACAGAGTTCAAAATATAAAAAATAAAAACAAACCAACCAATCATGGGACACATTTGTAAATATAACAGTTTCAAACAGCCAAATTATTATGTGGAAATAACAGAAACTATTTCCTTCTTTGGAACTTATGTTTTAAGAGTTTCCTGGTAGATTGTTATATTTATCTAAATACTGTCAAAGGGAAATATTCTTCTTGCAGAGGCAGAAAACAATTCTAATAATAAGTAAAGTATTGCCAACTTGTATTATTTTTTTTCAAAGATCATATCCTGATATTTCTTTGGAAAAGAATACAAACGTTTTCACTGTGAGCATGAAAAACCAAGAAATTCCCTTACAAAGAAGTGGTCACATGATGAAAGCAAATAGTTTTCAGAAGAAAAAATGCAAATGATAAATGACCAAGTGAAAAGACGCTACCCATTGCTAGTAAGAGAAATACAAATTAAAAGAGCCTTCACACCCATCAAGTTCACAAAAAATGATTTTTAAAAAAGGAAATAGGGTCAGAAAGGTTGGGAGAAGACAGGCACATTAATAAAATAATAGGTAGAGCTGGTAATGAGTCGAACCATTCTAGAAAACAATTTAGAACTTGTGGAAGATACACAATTCTCTGTGTGGCATTCAAAGCCCTTCATAACTTGCTTCCTGTCTTCCAGCTTTCCAGTATTCTTACACCTCACACAGCAACCTTGCCTCCCAATCTACTCTTTGATTCAGTGGCACTGGACTCCTTACGTTTTCTCAAACGAGATACTTCCATTTCCCAACTCCAGGTATTTTCACTGTCTGTCTCCTATGCCTGGAAGGCTCTCCTTTCGCTCCTCCATCTCTGCCTCCTGGCTTTACTGGCTTTCTTCAAGCCCACCTAAAATCCCATCTTCTACAGAAAGCCCTTCCCAATCCCCCTTTGTTCTAGTGTCTTCCCTCTGTTGAATATTTCCAATTCATCCTACATACAGCTTGTTTGTACATAATTGTTTGCATATTGTGTTCCTCATTAGACTGTAAGAAGACCTCATTAGAACCGCAGCAAAAGGACTGTCTTTTGCTTGTTTCATTAGGGCTTAACACAGTGTCTGGCACATAGTAAATATTCAATAAATGTATATTAACTTGACCCAGTAATCCCACTATTGGGAATATACTGAAAGGAAGTCAAGGTCAGAAATATTCATAGTAGCACTCTTTGTGGGAGTAAAAAACTAGAAACAAAAGGAGATACCAATTGACTTGATTAATGTCTGGGCAAACTGTGGTTTATACTATGGACACTATGATCCTAAAGAATATGAAAATTCAAGGGGCAGCTAGGTGGCGCAGTGAATAGAGCTCCAGCTCTAGAGTCAGGAGGACCTGAGTTAAAACCCGATCTCAGACACCTTACACTTACTAGCTATGTGACCCTGGCCCAGTCACTTAACCCCAAAACTCGGGAAGACCTGTATGAAATAACGTAGAGTGAATGAAAGCAGAAACAAGAGAACATAATGATCCTAATAATTTAAAAGAAAACTATACTGAAATACGCTAGCATTCAGATCAATGCAATGACCAATCTTATTCTATAGGCCTGGTGATATAGAAAGGTAGCCACCTAGAGGTATGTAACAGGACATACGTTGTTTGGTAAGAAATGTGTTGGTTTCTTTTGTTTTTCTGTACTTCTTTATCACAATGGGAGTAGTGGGGGGTGATAGGGTTTGAGTCTATTGTGAGTAATGAGAAACAATAGCAATATAAAAAAGCACCCAAAACATAAAATACAAAAAGATACAAACATCTTCAATGCTAAAAAAGAAGTAAAGGAAGAAAGGAAAAGAAAAATTGAAATAAAAGTTGATAGGCCGAAATTGGCCAGGTTTTTAAAGCAATTATTCCTAATTCCCATACCCAGATGATATTACCACAAAATTATCTGCATCCAATCTGGAATCTGCCAGTGTCTATAATCTAAATTATATTTAGAACAGAATGAAATATTCATGACTAAGTGGTTAGCAGAACTTTTGTTTCCCCCCCCACCTTTCCATACAATACATTACTGCATTAAATATACTATAAATATGGGGGGGGAAGGGGGGGATGTCCCAAAAGCCTTAGTGCAGTTTTAAGCCATCAAAGCCGCAAACAAGTATCCTGGCAGTATGCGTGTTCTTAGGACCACGTGCCTGGATATCAATCTAGACACAACCGATTCCTTTAATGCCATTCCTCCAATCTCCATTTGTTTTATCCTTCATAATCTTCAGATAGCTACATTGACCTGATATCTTCAAAAAATGTTTAAGTCCACAATGTTTTTTTCCTCACAGCCCTGTGTATCTCCTGAAAGGACTGGGAAAATAAAAACACCACGCATGGTCCACTTTAAATTATCTCCAATCTCAGGAACATGGCAGATAGGTGGCACAGTGGATAGAGTGCCAGGCCTGGAATAAGAAGACTTATCTTCCTAAGTTCAAATCTGACCTCAGACACTTGCTACCTGTGGGAACCTGGGCAAGTCACTTCACTGTTTGCCTCAGTTTCCTCATCCGTAAAATAAGTTGGAGAAGGAAACGGCAAACCACCCCAGTATCTTTGCCAAGAAAACATCAAATGGGATCATGAAGAGCTGTCATGAAATGACTGAAAATTACTGAACAAGGACAAGTTCTTCCTGCAAAGCTTTCTAAAGGAAAACATCTACTCTTTATAGCTGGTGTACTTTTATCACAACAGCACACACTGTATTGCTGTTGGTCAGTAACTGCTCATGTATCTACAATAAGGTTGGGAGATGGAACTCCTTATTGTGAAAAAGAGGAGCTAAGATATCACAACTGAAAACCGTGTGGAATGATGCCAGATACAAAACTGAAATAAATGGTTTTCTGAAGGGCAGAGGAAAAAGGAAAGAATATCTTGTTTTTCTACTTAGAATAAAACCTGTAAAGGCAACAACACCCTAAAATACTTACCTAAGATATTCCTCCAATCTTGGACCTGGCACAGCTGGTGAAAAAATTCTGGATAAATACTCCTAAGATTGCACAATTTAATTAATTAAACATGTGTCACAGACTTTGAGATTTAGAACAGGCCAGTTAGTCTTATCTGTACCCAGTGTACAAGGTAAACATGCTCCTCCTTCCTTCCAAATTCACTAAATCTGTCAACACTATCACCATTTTACTCAGTTTTCCATGTTTGAAACCTTAGTGCTATCTTTAAATCTTTCCTTTCCATCACCCAAGAATTAAATCAGTTTAATTCAATGAGCATTTATTCCCATGGTAACCTGTACCTAGTATATGCTTAACCGATATTTGAACTTAATCATTTATTAAGTTCTTTCATTCCAGCCCTGTATTTCTGCCTTTATTCCTTCCCCTCTTTACCTTTCAATTCCTATTATTGTTGTTGTTCAGTTGTGTCCAACTCTTCATGACCCCATGGCTCATAACATGTCAAGTTTTTCCAGCATCTACTCTCTCGAAATCTGCCAAGCTCATATTTGATGTTTCCATGACACTATCTATCCATTTCATCCTCTGCCGTCCCCTTCTCGTCAGGCAGTCAGAAGTTAAGTGACTTGCTAACAGTCACACAGCTAAGAAGTGTATAAGGCTATATTTGAACTCAGGTCTTCCTATCTCTAAGCCTAGTGCTCTATCCACTGAGGCACCAGTTGCTTCTGGTAAATTTACAGAACTTAGAGGATAAATATAAAAACAATTGACACAAGGGATAGAGAGAGGGTATTAGCAGTTAGGTGAATCAGGAAAGGCTTCACATAGGAGATTTTGAACAAAGAGATAGATTCTTCAAGGTGGTGGTGAGGAAGGAGTTCATTTTAAGGATAGGAGACAGCCAGCCAATGCAAAGATATGCAGACCAAGAGACCAGAAGATGGGGTATAACATGTGAAAAGCAGACTAATAGGGTAGGAAAACACAACCTAGAGTCATAAATGAGTAAGACACACAGATGACTCTAATCCAGGAAATTGTAATAAGTTTATTAAGGAAGTATAAAATAACGTGTTATATGACAGCTAAGGAAAGGCTTCCCAGAGGGGGTGACATTTGCTTTCAAGGATGGCTAGGAATAGACAACTCATTAGAAAAGACCCTGATGTTTAGAAATATTGAAGGCAAAAGGACGTGACTGGAATTACTGAACAACAGTCTCCTTCCATTAGAATGTAAACTCCTTCCGAGAAGGGATGGCTTCATTCTCTATATTTATATCACCAGAACCTGACAATGATTGTTGCTGGTTAAGAGTTAGAAACTCCACAAAGGGCAGGGACCACGTCAATAATAATAAATTTTTAAAAAGCTGAAAAATATCTATTTGGTATGTCTACTATGTGTATAAATCCCTGGGAATGCTCAAGGAGATTAATTTCTCCCAGTTCATCTAGAACCTATATCTCCCCCATTGTGCACAAGGTAAGGACTTAATAAATGTTTGTTGAATTGAATATAAGAATGATGGCACCCTGGAGGTTTCTGTAACGGCACGCATACTTTCTGGCATAGCAACCAGTCTTACAAGAACATCCATACATATTAAAATCAACTTTGCAAATACAAAAGATAATAGAGTTAATTTTGACTACAAAATTGAAAAGCTTTATTTTCTATTATCTCTAGTAAGGATCTGACAGCCAAGATTTATGAATCAATAAACATTTATTAAGCACCTACTATGTGTCTGACCACTGTGCTTGATGCTAAGCACTAAATATATACACTTTGTCTGTCTCTCTCTCTCACACACAAATCAAAAGTATTCCCCAAAAAGTGGTCAAAGACTATAAAGAAATGGTTCTTAAAAGAAAATTTGCGAACTATGAATGACACTATGAAAAAATAGTTCAAATTACTACTAAGTAAAA